GCAAGCTAGATAGTTATAAGCATGATGTTTTTGACTTAATCACATTAGATATTTAATGTATTATTGCGTTTAGGTATTAAAAAACAGTATTCCAAACGAAAAAGCGTAAATCAGATACTCACTATCCAAAAAGGTGAGTCCCGTAAAATCCGTCCGAATTGATGTGTTGATACTCGCAAGGCGACGATGCACTAATTTTAAATGCAAGGTAAAAAATTCGTCTAATGCGCAATCGTGTGACGAAGGCCTCGTTCAGATAGGTAGAAGAGTTTCCTTTGGAAAATTATTCTTATAAACCAATCAATCGTGTATGGCCAGGTTCGAAAGGGATACGAGGAAGAAAAATAAACTAGCTGTTCTCGATAGTCGTCTTCACAAAGTGACAAATTCACATAAGGGGAAATGTATACGCTTCTATAACAAGAGTCCGGTTGATATAAAACAATTTACCATTCACGAGGTTTAAAACTATAGTGAAACAAAAACTTTATACTAACGGTTATTAAACAACTTATGCGTAATTGGATGATAAAAATCCGTGGTAGTAACCCGTTTAGCTCATGGAGGTATTCTCGGTCTCAGAATATCAATTCAACACAAATTTAAAAAAGTTATAATTAATGTGTGCGTGGACTGAGGGCCAACATGATTTTTGCCAGTTGCAGTAACTGGAATGCTTGAAGTACAAGTTGTAAAGCATTTTGTAAAACGCATCCTGGAATTTTTTTTTAATCTAAATTTAAAGAGCTTTTCCGTGTATTTTAATGGTGATGTCGTTCCGTAATGCTACTTAATTTATACATCTAACCTAGATTAAGACTATCTAAATATATTTTGTACAGTATCTTGACTTCGTTCAACGTAGGAACGGCCAGTATACTGTTACACCACCCAGTCCGTCGTAAGTTAATCACACTGCCCAAATGTCTCCTGAGTCTCGCGGTCCGAACACATTCCATCAGAACGTGGTAAACGTCTTCAATGACACCGCAATTACTACAATATGGAGTTGGTGTAATGCCCATCGAAAAGGTAAACTTCTTTGAAGGAATGTGTAAAGCATATATTATAAAGCTATACCACCTAAGGTGCGGTCTCACAGTTCTCACACCAAAGCTTCCACTTCTGGGTAAGTATTTAGTTTGCCGGCGGCATATTTAGTTAACAGAAATTTAGTAAAAACCTTTACACAATGAACAAAACGTAATTTGGCAATATTTATCTCGTAATTTACTCACTCTCTGTGTGTTCTACGCTTAAAATTAAGACAGCACAGTGACGCGCGTGTCACGACAAACATAGTGGCAAAAAATTGTAGTGGCACGCTTCTATAAGCGTCTATTTTGAAAGCGACTTTATAATCGATTGTTGGATAAGCAACACTGCCACAAATGACTTACGCTCTATAAGTTTCTGCTCCTCAGTAACATAAACTATTGTCAAGCCTTTCTGGGGTTCGTTGTCTACTTCGAACGGAGTTACCCATGTTACCTGAAAAATGCGTATAGATTGGCTTCTTAGGCTGCAAACGGATTGACTGCAAGTTTGCAATTAATGTACAGGCAAAAATATACTTAATTTTTTTATTGTTTTATTCACAATTAAAAAAGTTTACAAAAAAGAAACAAAAAAACAGCGAATTAAAATCACTAAATGATTTATGTATGGCTGCCGTCACAAATGTTCTCATGCGTCTAACAAAAGAATTAATAACAAATTACGTAGATTACACTTAAAACTATTACAATTCAAAATTTGACAAATGCATTGATTTAAGAATTGTTTAATAGCAGTAGAGCTCCTTTTGAAAGAGTTTGTCCAGGGAAGTACTGCCACCTTACCTATTTCTGCCGCCAAGCTGGAATATCAGCATTACTGTGTTCCGATTTTAAAAGGTAAGCAAGGGTGCTGGTGAAATTACAGGCACATGGGACTTGTTAACTTATGTCCAGGGTGACGGGCGCAGTGGTAGTGCCTCTCAGATCTTTGCAATTTAAAGCTCTGAGTGGCACTGTAAATTAAACGATTAAAAATTAAAAGAAAAGAAAAACATTTTTCTGGTGATTTAAAAAAAAATTTTTTTTCGTAATCTCGACTGCATGAAGTTAATACGTTATCAACTTTATGCCGTTGATGTCTCGGCTGCATTCTTGATAAACTTCTGGGTAAACCAGACAAATGTAAAACAACGACTAACATCTGAATGAATAGAAAGTAGTCGTCTTCTCGACAGCACATGTCTTCTTTAACGCTCACATTGCATATTGAGCTTTATTTCGAGCAACTAAGTTTAAAATTAAGAAAATACTCATGAAGCATTTTTTCGCTAAATTTTTGTTAGCTACAGGCGTGGAAAATCCGAGACATTTACTTAGTTCACCAAAACATAAAACTCGACCATATTGCTCTTAAATAGAAACTGGAAAATTTATTAAAATAAGACAAGAAATACAACTACGGGTAATATTTTTGGTACGGCTGTCATTTTTGCACTCCAAAACAGCACAATAAGGCATTGTTTTACGATTTTAGAGAAATTACGACACAACTATAGCGCACAAAGCGTAAATGGCGGATTGAGCTCAAGTAGGCAGAACTACACCTGTAGTTGGCACGCATGCTACGCTAATTAACCACGTTTACTGTTATTATTATGTGGGACGACCAGCGCTATGCAACGCGAGTGCGTCGCGAAAATATGCGAATGTTTGTATAATGTTACCATACTTGTCTCATTATCCGCTCACGCGATTCATGCGTCTCTGGAAGCATACCACACCTAGAGGTGCCGGTGATGATTTTATACCGATTTATCGGATATCGAAGTTATAACAGGTAAAAGAACTAATACTAATTGCTATTTCGGTAACTACTAGTAGAATGTAAGAGATTTAGTTTTTAATTTCAAATTTAATTTCCAATGACTAATTTTATATCCAATGACTAATTTTTATATCCAATGACTAACTTTATATCCAATGACTAATTTTATACCCAATGACTAATTCTAAACTTTAAATTAATTTTCAATATGTTTTCAATTAATATTCAATAGGACGTTGTGTATTTCATTTATAAAAGTTTAACTTTATTGGATATATTAAGTTTTAATTTTATGCTTTTGCAATGCCCTTTCAGGGCTAATGTTGAGAACTGACACTAGCTTGTAAGAACTTATGTGCTACAACATTGATGCAATAAAGATTATGATTATTATTATGATTATTACTCTAGCAAACCATAAAGTTTTTAATGCCTAGGTCTGTCATTTAAAAAAAATAAACAACTTCAAAAATACGTCACGACAATCGTGTGTGCTATTGTTTGGGCTGGTGATGTCGGTGTTTATTTATTGAAAACATACCGTAAGTTGCGTTTTTTAAGTTTACCCTGAATATAAATGTTTACAAACTATACTTTATTAAGGAGTAATTTCATGGTAAACATTAGAACCACTCAAACGGAATATTATCATATTTACCCAAGTACACCAAAAATTTCATTAGTGCTTTTTAAGTGCAGGATTTGCGGTGTATTATTGCATTTTATTTGAGATGTTTTTGTTGTAGTACGGAGGGTATTTATTTAGCAATGCAGAATAATAATTTTTATTTTTAAAAACTTGTATTTAAACTGAACCCTTTTCTAATTTGCAAAACCAAATAGCCGCCATTTTGCGGTAGGATGAGCGCATCGCGTGAGCGGTTATACAGTGCTTTTAAACATTAAAGAATTGCATGGTATTAAACCATGATTTCTTACCTCATGTCCAGCCTTTAATAGAGCTCGCACAATTCCTTTACCCAGCGTATTATGGCTTCTGCTAGGTATTGGAAAAACGCACAGTATCTTGTACGCGTGTGCAATTGTAAAGCAACTCAGCAAGAGAAGAATGAGTCTCATTGTTGCTGGAAAAGACAATAATAAATAAATAAATATAAACGTCATTAGACAACATCACATATACGTTGCTCTGACTTCAAAGCGGGAAAATGGGAGGTGCACGTTTCGGAAATACTCACTAAACAAAATATTAGACTTTAAATATAGAATTTTTCGTAGCAGTTAGAGCTCCTTATAAAAGTGTTCGTCCAGGAAGAACTGCCACCTTACCTCACAAGGCGCTCTACTGCTTCTGACTAATTTGCTGTACAGTCAGGAGCACATCAAGCTTGACCTTTGTACTTTGGACCGTTCTTATCATAAGCGGCATAGAGTTGGATTTATATTACATTGTATATGTGCCCCAAGAACTAGGTAAAAGTAATGTTTCTTCGTCAGAATCCATCGCGTAACTCAATCGAAAGATAAAATATCACTAAAAATTTGGTCCGTACGCGCCCTAATGGTTTTTAAAGCGGGTAGCAAAACCTGGAATAATGTCCCAGATGTTATAAGGTTGCACTCCACTGAACGAGTCAGTGCATTGAAATATCTGGGGCACTGGGTCTCTGAATCTTTAAAAGACGATTTAGATACATAAGCGTAGGGCGCTGACAGTAAGAGGCAACATATTGGCCCATATGGGCTACCTATCAAAGGTCCGAAATGACATTTTCCAGAAATAACGTTAGCTCGAATGTTCATAACCTCGAAAGTAATTTTGAGAGGAAAATGTTTTTTTCTTTTAAACCTAACTTAACCTAACCGAATCTAGTCGTGTCTTTGCGATATCCAACATATCCTGAAAGAACAACGGTTTCATTATAATTCGGTTTTCAGGGTAGTGAAAATTCTAAGAAACGTTATTTCGGAAAAAATAAATCGAGTTTGTGATAGGTTACCGCCCATTGGTTCGCGAGGTGTAGAGACGATGTAAGGATTGTCCTATTCAAGTCATATTGCCAGTCTTTTTATACTTGCAGCCTTTGGGTCAACTATACCTTAAAATCTCTTAGCGCCATACGAATTTTGTATAATAACATATTGAGGATTTTGTTACAGCTGCCACGATTTTGCAGTGCATCGAGGATGTTCGCCATGGCTTTGCGGCTATCATGCTAAATTGAGCGGCTTCGGCATAGAGTTCGTGGCACCTAAAACAGCCACTTAAGTATAATTGCAAACAGGGTTCTTTTCACGAGAACTGCTTTCGGTTGCATTTTAGAAAAAAATGTTAATTATAGTACTAACTCTGTGACAATGTAACCTCCTTACATCGTTATCCCATCTTTTTTTTTCGCCGGTTCCTGGCCACTTGTTTATATATTTTGAATTGTTCTTTAATAATTCCTTTACCTCGCCATTCTGATTTTGTTTCGTTCTATCGTCACTTTATACTCGAACGCGGCAGCGTACAATATTGTTTAAATTCGAATTGCATATAATTTAGATTTATTTACCAGATTTGTAATAGCTACTACTAATCATGTGCCAATTTTGATAACAATCTGTAAATCAGTATAACTCGACCCTTTTGGAGTAAGTGTCTACTTTATATTTCTCTTTTTAACCGACTTGAAAAAAGGAGGAGGTTCTCAATTCGACTATATGTTTTTTTTTCTTTTTGTACTTATGTTACGCGATAACTCCGGTATTTGTGAATCGATTTTCATGATTCTTTTTTTGTTGGAAAGGGGGTACTTCCATAGTGATCTCATTTCATGTTGAAGAAAATCATCCACCTCTAAGGGTAGTTGTTCACGCATGAAGATTCATTTTTAAGGAGCAATTATTTTAATGGTTGATTTTGCTATTTCTCCAATTCAAGGCGTTTTTCTCTCAATATACTTGGAGTAGTGAGAACCGATTTTTATTATATCCAGTGTCAAGTTCTGTATAGTGTCGAAATTAAGGATATTTCAATAAAACTTAGCAAGTAGACGTAATTCCACGTACTTTTGAGGTCGGATTTTTTAGTACTGTGTAGGTACTGAGATTATTTCTCTTTACCAACAACTGTTAATAAATTTCCGTGGACCTGAAGTTTTCTTATTTTATTGCCGTAAACTTAGTCACGGCTCACTAGGGTTTAGAACCTTTTCAACTCTATTTTTGAGTGCTCTGTTACTAACCTCTATGGATGAGTATTCCGAAATAAAGATATTTAAATTGGAATGTGAATAAAGTCCACTATTGGGTTGACATTTTCTTACACACACTATCACTTATAAAACATTACTCTGTATTAATTTTAACAAACTACATATATGTATATTACGATAAAACACGAGTATTTCATGTAACATCCCAACTAAAATAGATTCTACAATCAAAAGATAATTAAGTTGTTTACAGACCAAATGACTGGTTGACTTGCTTGACGATTTTGTCATTGGTTTTCAAGGTTATTTCCTCATTACATGGCACTATGTACATATTTATGTGTTGTAATATTGTATGTAATGATATATAATGTTGCACCTACACTGTAACACAGATTTAACTATAAAAAAATGTGAAACTACTTAAGAATCGATACCACCTTAGCTCGAATTTAATTTTTTCCCGCAGTAATACGGTTCATTTTGCTTTGGTCGAGCGGCGGAGACACTGGCTTCATTTCGGAATTATTTGCCAAAGCCATTTCAAAAATGTATATCGTATAGTATATATACCTGTTCTGTTTAGTTCAGTTGATATAAAAAATCATTGGTGTATGTGAAGTACCTATTGAATACTGCGGCTTTCAATTTCTAGGTAAGTTTGTGTTTTTCTTCTATCGTGAAAATTTTTTGGTGTATATCACCAATTTTACTGTAGGGTTTGTCAACAAGGACTTTGTTTTGCAAATCAAAATAGAACAATAAATGTAGGTGACATTGATTCAAATTCAAATTGTATTAAAAGAAGTAAGGTTTGGCAATTATGAATGAAAAATGATATCTGATAAATGTCCATCACGACCACAGTTACAGATGTCGATTCTTTCATCAAAGTTTTTAATCACTTTTTGACCAAGTGGTGGGTACATTTCCTTAACACGAATTTTGAGTTTTAAGGCTGCAATTGACTCGATTGGTTCTGTATAGACTTTGTCTTAACATAACCATAAAAAATAATTCAGCGGTGCTAAATCGGTGTTAAGATAACGGCTGAATTTATGCTATCAGGAAATTTGGTTTGCAATAAATTCATTGTTTCGGTAGCTGTGTGACTTGTGACACCGTCTTGTTGAAACCACATGTTAGTGGTATCCATATCATCAATAATTGGCCAAAATTGAGTTGTTAACTTCTCTTGATAGCGTAATCCATTGACCGTAACCGCATTTCCAGACGAATTTTCGAAACAAAACGGCCCAATGCCACCGTCATCTAAATTTATTGTTTCATTTTGATTTACGAAACAAAGTTCTTGTTGAAAAACCTTAAAAAAAGAGAAGTTTTTTTTTATTTATTTGAGATAGTAGTAATAGACTTTTAACTATAAAATTTGTACACAAAAACAGAGACACATCATGTATTCCTTCAGTTTTCCATAGAGAGCGCAATGCATAATATAAATAACATAACATTTAAGAGCTCTTCAAACGTACTTGGTACCTCTAAAAATAAAAAATAAAACTTTTAACACTGAATTATTTTTATGTAAAATTACTCCTCTAGTTTGTTATAATTATTAATACAAAGACCGAACACTCAGAAAACATTCCTTCGATCCGGCCGCATTCGAACCGATGTCTTCTAGCATACCATGCCAGACGCTATACCAACTAAGCGTGTTCTGTAAATTTTTAACCGACTTCAAACAAAGGAGAAGGTTCTTCGACTGTATTTTTTTTGTGTGTATATTACGCGTTTACTCTGGCATTTGTAATCTGTTTTTGATGATTCTTTTTTGTGGGAAAGAGGATCAGTATTAGATCCATTTAAATTTCAAGGAAATATTTTTCGGGTGGCTAACTAGGGGATAAATCCGGTAAATACTTTCCGGTAATCGATTTCAAATAGACGTAATTCTTGAACTTTTGAAAAAAAAAGTTATAATTATTGCAAGCCACTGTTTCACCGGAGGTGCGTTATTAAATTTATTTATTAAAATATTTGTGTGATATAAATAAAAAACTCCTAACTCTAATAAAAACGAAGTTATTAGCAAAAACCGCACGGGATTTTTAGTCAACAACTTACCTTTAAAATAACTGATAAAAGTTCGAAGAACAATTGCTATAAGCACCAGATTCGTGTAAAACTCAACTTTTACTAAACACACTAGGAGTATAAATAGCGACTTTATTACCTCCAAAATCTAAAATTAGACTACGTTCGAGGATTATTTTCGAGCTATTCGCTTTCATGAATCAATAACCAGATAAGATAACCAATAATATTCAAGTTTTCAGAAGGCGCCAAGTTGTATTTCATATTGTTTTATTTATTAATTTGAATCAGGCAAATATGGGCCATACAAGTGCACTCGTAATATCTAGTGACGGGATGAATAATGGTAAGCTACACGCCTGTCCATAACAGTTGCAGTGCCACTCAGAGCTTTATATCGCAAATATCTGAGGGGCACTGCCACTGCGCCCGTCACCCTGAGACAAGTCCCATGTGCTTGTAATTACACCAGCACCCGTTTCAAAACCGGAACGCAGTAATGCTCGCATTACTGCTTTTGCGGCAGAAATGGGTAAGGTGGCTATACTTTCCTGGACGAACTCCTTCACAAAGAGCTCTACTGCTACAAAATTTTATAAAGATATTTATAATAAGATTTAATGAAGGTTTTTTTTTAAATTCACGATAATACATTTATTTCCTACTTGGTTCTCAGGATCCATACCACAATTTCCCAATCAATTTATTTCAATATCCAATCAAATAACAAAAAGTATTTCAGATTTTGTCCATATCATGTTAGTTACAGAAAATGTGAATGAAATAGGTTGCAGAGAAAAAAAAAACAAAAACTACATTAGTGTTAGCGGCCCCTTCCACCAACACAAGCCCTATACCTATTTGCCGGCTTTTAAACAGTATAAATAAATCCGTCACGCTGCCACTAGATGGCGTTGCTTTGTACATAATGTCGGTGATGACCACAGATATTGTTGAACCATTGTTGTTATGTTTCCATCCCTTAGAGGATGGAAAGTCTGTGGTGATGACTAGGTTTCGTTGTTTATGATTGTTATTAATTAATATCGATCGACGAATACAGTAACTATAATAATTAAAATTAAAAAAACACCTTACAAAATAAAATGTTAGCAAGTAATTTTCGGCAAATTGTTAAAGAGCCGACTAGAATCACACAAAGTAGTAGTACGTGTATAGATCTTATCTTTTTGAATTTTGAAATTACTAATTATCAATTAATTGTAAATGACTTTGGTTTCTCTGACCACAAAGGATTACTCTTTTCTATGCCAGTGAGTACCCACGCTCCAAAACAATTCCCATTGCCAAAAAGGATATTTTACCAAAAAAATATAATTAAGTTTAAGCAAGAACTCCAATTTATAACGTGGAGCGATATAATTAAGCCGGATAACAGTCTAAATGAAAATTATAACGCATTCAATAATACTCTTCAAAAAATATTAAACAAACGTATACCCAAATTAATTTATAAATCATGTAATAAACCTATAAAATCATATCTCACTTCTGGTCTTAAATTATCATGTAAAAATAAAAAATTATTAAAATCACTTACATCTCAAACAAAAAATAAAATAATACATAATTATTATAGAGTATATTGCAAAACTTTAAAAAAAGCTGTCCAGGCGTCAAAAAAGTTACATAACTCATACAAAATTATAGAGACGTCGTCCGCAAACAATACACTGTCAAATGGTATCGATGGGGGGAGGTCGTTTACATATACTAAAAACAGAACACAGCCCAGTACACTCCCCTGAGGAATCGATCCTATGGTAGAGATATAAACAAATATTCAAACTCAAAAAATAAAAGTAAAACAATGTGGCAAATCATAAATAACGCAACAAATCGCAGACCCCAGTCAGTCAAAAAAAACATAACATTGAAACAGAATCAAACATTGCAAATAGATCCTGTAACGATTGCAAATAGTTTCAATAAATACTTCAATACTATAAGT